ATTTTCAAACTTTTATATTTTTTCTTGATCTATAGCCCAAGGGCTTTCCAACCATACATCAACCGGGGCTAACGGCCTTCTAGGTCTGGATTCCGTATATTACGTGTATATTTAGCGAGTTCGACTTTTTTTTTCGAACTCCGATGTTTTTCGAACTGCCGTCCGCTGTGATTAATAAAATTAGGAAAATGACAGCATTTGGAATATTTGTGTAGTTGTATTCATGAAAATTGCGGTACACTTTTTATCTACGATAAAACCGGGAATATTTTATTAAAAGGAAGTGTTCAATAGGTCAGTGATGTCATTTGCCATGTTAATAAATAACAAATTTAGTGAGCCTTCGAATATATCCGACTTGGAATTTATCTTTTGAATAGCGTTCAATCCTTTGCTCAAAGAAAAAGAACCCACAATGGTCATTGCTGTGCTTTGCTCGCAAAACACTCACATTCTGGATCAACGTTGAGTTCAATTTGACGACATTTTAGCGATGAATGAATTAGCACTGCAACACAACCAGATCTTCTAGCTCTTCTATGGTTCTGTCACATGCTTTGGAAAGTATACACTGGATGAGTGCATAGACGTAAGAAATGCTTCAACAAAACATATCACCAAATTTCAACTTTCATGTCGGGGTGTCATACACCTAAATTATTCGTATATTTGATTGTTTCTAGAAAACTCAATTGTGTCGACTAAAAAACAGTTGTGGTTTTACTAAAGTCCATGAAATAAGTTTGTGAATTTTTTTATACAGAAATATTGCAAAAATTATGCAGATTCTGAACATGTAATCAAAGTTCTAAAAAGTGTACCAAAAAATATTTTTTTTACTTTTTAGTACATTTTTTAGTACTTACATTTTCAATTTTTTTTAGTACATTCAGAAAGTACAAATTGAGTACACATTTTTGATATATTTGGTTTTTAATTCTGAAAACTAAAATTTCTGTACTAAAAAAACACTTGTAATTTTAGTACAGTCGATGTAATAATTTCGGAATATTTTTTATACATATATATAGTACAAATCATGCAGATTCTGAATATATATTCAAAGTTCTAAAAAGTGTAGTAAACATTTTTTTAGTACATTTAGAAAGTACAAATTGAGTACAAATGTTTGGTATATTTGGTTTTTCGAACCGATGTGTACTAAAAAAGAAGTTGTACTAAAACATACTTCCAATTTAGTACTAATTCTAAAAAATTAGTACAAATTAGCACAAATTGAGTACAAATTATTTATGGGTGTAATGACCCTCTAGCTCAAAGTCACCCGTGAGTGGTCAGAGAGCCAAGACATTCAGAAAAAATCGTGCAAATATTTTAATTTTTTACATATATGGAATATTTGCAAATGGTTGTACGCCCCTAGTGCGATACTTTTATGCATTTCTACATGCATACTAGTACAAGAAAAAAAGACTTGCTTCGTCTCTCATATTAGATAGTTATGATCTTTAGACAAAATATTAATAGGTAACTTCATTTGAATTCATTGAATATATTGAGTCAATTTAAGCAAGTTGTCGTCATTTACACACGAACAAGATATGAAGTAAAGACTCTATTTCCTATGCGTCCGATTGTAACCGTGTCTGATTATTTCAAATCGGCTACCGATATTTTTATGATCTGCACGTTATTAGATAATTCGCTAATAGTTTTGGAAAA